GAAGCTTCTCGGTTTTAATCCTCAGGTTTAATCCTCTCCACAGGCGTCTGTGTGGGAGGAGGGAGAAGCAGAAAAACAAAACAAAAAAGACAAAAGAACATCCTCCCGAACGAGTTTCTTGTCATTCATTCTATTCAAAAATCGAAAAGTCCCACGAGAAGAATTTTCCCCCCTACTCACCCAGAATTCGAGTTAACCGTGAGAAAATCGCTATAGGGAGTGAAAATTTCATTCGAGATATCCGGAAATTCGAGATAAGCGAATTTGAGTTAAACGGAGCATTTAACATGGTGTCCTACGGGGTTCCGCCGGGACCAAGCTTTGAACTTTGAGATAAGCGGAATTTCGACTTATCAGGATTCGAGTTAACGAGTTTTCACTGTATTTAAAGCATGTATATGTTTCCTCTCTCGTTGAGAACTAAACCAATTGGAATATTTCCCCTATTGAATCCAGCCTCGCGGAGAAAGAAGAAAATCGAGCAGAGCGATATGAAAGAGATGAAATTCAATATTTGGAAAGGTTGCACCTTTTTTTTAAACAAAAGTTATATTTCGCTCACTGATAGAAAGGATAATGATTCCCTGGTGCACCTGACCACCGTCGCCTTTCGAGGCGGTATCGACCTAATCGCTGGTGCGCGCGGAAGAAACGGCGAACGCTGCTGCCACTGTCGCAGCGAACTTTAAATAAATCCCTGGGTGGCGGAAGAGAGGGAGGCCGCCGTGGGAATCGGGGTGAAAGGGGAAAGGGGGGAAAGGCCTCGCAAGGTTCCACAGCGGAAAGCCTAAAAATAAAGCTTGGGATGACTCCAGGTGACGTCACGCGACGCGTCCCCGCACACCCTCATGTGTGTTTATGCCGTCCGGTCCGAAGCGAGACTGAGTGGAGGGGGATGGAGGGGGGGGGGGGGGGGGGGGGGGGTGTAATTGAAGATTATTATTCAGATAAATAGGCAAAGCGCTCGTAATATCATAACTTATAATATCATACCAATCAACATGAAAGTACTTACTCATCGAAGGCTCCCTCAAGTCCGAACAGATCACAAGCGAGACCCTGCCATTTGCGGTCCGTCCGCCGTCGTGGACGCGTGTGGAGTGGTGAATGCGCGCCCTGGAACGGGGTCATTGGGTACTCCTCTTTTAAATCCGTATGGCTTACAGCTGGGAGAACCGGGTTCGATTCCTCGTCTATCATCTCTACGGTATGAATGAGAGGGAGGAGTTCCCAACACGGGTTTTAAACGTAAATTATGCTTATGGGACGGATTTTTCCATTCAAATGTTATTATCTCTATTTTTCAGTGTTTCTTCAGTATCATTTTTTTTTAATTCTCTTCTGTGCTTTTATTTATTTATATTTTTTTTTCGCTTCTGTGCCTCACACCTTTTCCGCCCCGATAGCGCGTCAAACTGGAAGAGTCAGAATGATAACAATGGCCATCGTATCGTTTTTTCCGGAGACGATTTCTCAGGCGATGGTCATTCCGATGTTGCGAAAGAAATCGCTCCTCTGGTGTCGGAGGCGCGAGTTAGCATTTTTATGTTTCTGTTTCTCAGAAAGCACAAGGATTTTGACAGTTTGTTAAAAATCAGTATGATAAAAATGTAAACTCACATTTTTGGGACTTATTCGCGGATATAGGACGTCATTAGGATGCGTGACTTCGACAGCTGAAAATGAGCATTTCGTGACGTCAGTAAGACCTCTTCCGTGCCAAAAAGTTTTCTATGCGATTTTTCTTCGCAAGTCGACTTGCAAAGAAGACTTTCGCGGCGAGAACGTCTTCGAAAGTTTAAAGAGCAACATTTTCCATTCTTTCATCGCCTCGAGAAAACTTTCTGGTGCGAACTCGGCCAAACCGAACTCCCCCAAAAAACGTTGAATTCGAGGCCAATTCGCACGAAAGAGGACTCTCCACCGACAGACGTGGACGGGAACGGCTACCTCGACGAGCGAGACTTCGCCTGCTTGGCGCTGAGGACCACCGTGCTCGAGGGCAAGGGGGACTTCAGCCACATCAAGTGGGAGGAGAACTTCCACATCATGATGAACCTCTGGGCGGAGATGGCGGAGCTGGCGGATCTCAACAAGGTGAGTGGGGTGGGGGGGGGAGAAGTGGGTCGTGTCGATTGTAAACAGTTCTGTGCAGGGTTCATGCAGCGACAGGTTCGAGCCGAGAGACCTCTTTGGGAATTTTCGAGCGTCGTTATTCCTGTTTTCGCAATTTTTTCATTATGTTAGTTCATTTTTCTTCTAGGCTGAAAATTGAAGACCTGATTATGGCTAGCATCAGCAACTTACAAGAATGATGCCGAATGCTGACTAGCAGCGGTGTAGCGTGGGGGTGGAGGGAGCAGGATTGGCACGTACTCTTCATAAAAAAAAGAAGCGAAAGTTGGAAGGAAAAGACGCATGAAATGAGTCATAACAGGATCCCAGAAATCCTGCGCCCCCCTTTGCTGACAAGTATGAATAGTTACTGCTAGTGTACAAATCTACAGGCAGGCACATTAGTTAATGATATGGAACATTCACAGAAGTTACGTGAATTGAAAACATTTATTCGAATGATTTTTAAAACATCGAGAGACGATAAATCCCATTTTCGTCTAAATTCCCTCCCGAGAATTTAGAATAAAAATGCTCGAAATCCGAATACCGTTCACACACAGCAAAAAAATTCCGTGGAGGTCCCCCCCAAACTGTCCCCGTTCCACCATTAGCCTCGCACGTGACTCGCCTCGCGACCGCAAACCCTCATCGTGTTCTCTCGTTCTCTTTTCATCGTGCGGATGGTGGGAGGAGGACGTCGAGGCAGCGGGAAGAAATCGGTTCGCCTCATTCTTCTGTCGTTGTCGTCCGTTAGCCGATGCTTGCTTAGTTGCTCGTAGAGCTCGGTGGCATGGTCCGTGCCTGTGAATGTGAACATGTTCACATGTGAACATGTGGGAACGATCGGAGGGAAGACGTCTTGACTCCTAGCCAAAAGTTCCGTTTTTTTGTCTTTTTTTTTTTGACTGCCAGGGCGTGCAACAAATCGGGTTACAAAGGAGAGTGGAAACAGGAAAAGAGGAGAAAGGAGAGCTTTCAGTGACTCCTCTCGGGAAGTATCCAAAATACGTTGCTCTCCTTTCGCCTGGATCCTGCAGATAGCGATAGATACTAGAGAATAGAGCAGAGGGAGTTTGCTTTTGTCTTAACATGCACTCATTCAGTGGATCGGTTCGTTCGCGGGTCGGTGTTTGGCATGCTGAGGAATGCTCGCTGAGATGCTTAGTATGTCGTCTGGTTTTTTGGTTTTTTGTTTTGTTTTTTGAAGGACGTGTATTTATAATAATGAGTGTGGGTGTGATGTTCCCGGTCAGGACGGCCGAGTCACGGCAGAAGAATTCGCGGAAGTGGTGAAAAACATCTGCATCGGCAAGCGATTCCATGAATTCCCCCAAGCCCTGAAGATGTTCGTGGACTCCCGATTCAAGACCATCGATCTCAACGGTCAGCTCCCGTTTCCTTCCTCGTCCTCATAGGCGGAGCTTCAACGTCTCATGAGGGGGAGGGGGGGCTTGCAAAAAAAAGTCTACAGCCCCACAACCACCTTCCACCTCCTCGTTTATCTCATTTGGGACATTCCGTGCTCTTATTTAGGTGAAATCTCACAGTCCTGAACCACCATTAACCTGTCAAGATGAAGGCAGACAGGCAGATCATCCCTCCAATTTTCCAATCCACAAGAATAATCTAATAGGTAGTGAAGACATTTGTGATATCCATTCATTTCACTCCGAGTAATAACGCTATTCCCGTTGAATATTGCGTATAATTTCGCTAAAAATTTTGAGGGCTTAGGCCCCCCCCCCCCCCCAAAAAAGACCCTGAAACTCCGCCTATGCCCCCCCCCCCCCCCCCCATCCCCGACCTCATCTCACGTGCGACTGTGACCCGAAGATGACGGCGTGATCGACCTGAGCGAGTTCCGCATCGACTGCGTGCAGCGGATGGCGTACGAGTTCATCGAGGAGATCGACGACGCATTCGAGGCCATCTCCTCGGTGAGTCCGCGTATTTCGAGTCGGTTGGAGCAAGGTCGTTAGACGCGCTTTTCCCCACCTCTTCTCACGGTCGACGAAGGCAGGAAAAACACGACAAAAAATCGGGAAGTCTGGTAACCTCGCGCCGGTCGGTTTCCGTCAGCGGCGTCTCGTCGGGGGAAGCAAGGGTGGCCCCAAGGGAGGCCTTCCAGGGTGGCTCGATCCCAACAAAATGTGGGTTGTTCGTTCCAGACGAAGACTCTCGTGGCCGACTTTTCATCGAATCCAGCAGGAGATTTCAGACTCCAGCAGATTTTTCAAGTCAGCTCCCTGTGAGGGAAAGCAATTACCCCTGAAAGAAACGATAAGTATGTCACGGTTCTTGCAAGTCGCTTTTTGGCACGGCCGACTTGCCATATTTTACGCCGAAGAGACGCGAGACGAATGGAACCATGAGTCAGTCCTGACGATCTTTCATCTCTATCTAACGAGGACTCAGCCATCGAGTCAAAGCAGAAGCACTGTCTGTCATTGAATGGATCGCCGCCAGTGGACCTAAAAAAAATAAGCGAAGAGCGGAATATTGCCCAAATTTCTTAACAATGCCAATATTTTTCGTGCTTGGATCAAATTTGATGGAATATAATCCACTCGATGACCTTTCACTGCCATCTGTGCAATGTACTTCGAGTACCGTCACGCAATAACGACGCCAAAAAAAATAGACAGACGCAACGGGACGTACTGGCCCAGTTTTTTATTTATTTCCTTGGGGTAAAAAGAAATCCTCTTAGCTTGGCACTTAAGAACGGGAAATGAGATGGAATCCAGGGCCGAATTTTTTTTTTTTACTCGCCGCTGTCCCATCCGCGAAATACTACATCTTATTTATGTTCTTATAGTATTGGCAGTCGAGCGGTATGGACAGGCTTCGTCAGGCGTCGAAAATTCGGGCCGCACGCCAGATATTCGGATTAGTGTCAATGCTGTTTGTTTTTATGTCAATAAATAGAACGTTTTATTTTCGACTCGCGGCTGCAAGGCGCCCTCGCTCGAGTGACTAAACAATTCAACGAGTACTCAGAGTACTCAAAGTACTTATTAACACGGCCACCGAATCGAACCTCGCCGCATCGAGACGAGTCTATCGGTACCTCAATCGTCGAAATCGTCTCCGTAGATTTTCCTCTCGGTAGAGGATATGAACCCTTTCAGACTCCGTGTCCGTTCCAATAGACAGCTCTGTAATCTTCAGTTATGGAATTACATATATTATATACAAAATATGGAATGATTAATTTATACAAAATATAAAAATAATATACAGAACATAAAAATTGAAAGTAGAATAGGAAAAGAGCTCAAAAATGAAAAAAAGTACATTATTCCGTTAGTGGCCATAATTCAAGTCTGAAAGGGTTACGGCGATAGTAAGTACTCGAACACCTGGCGAGTACTCGATAGAATGAAATGGCTCTCCTGAAATGGCACTCTCCGGCGAATAGCCGCGCCTCATTTTCTCAGCACGTGGCAATCAATTTTGCTCAAGGTCGATCTGAGGGCTTCCAGTAAATACTCTCAGTACTTCGCATGCTAGATCAGTACTTGAGACCCCCCCATGATGAAACAGGATCACTCCTTTACCCACTATAGTTGAATTTATTCTTTGTGTAAATCCAGTCGCGAGAATCCGGCCAACAAAGTTAGATAAGTGAAGGGAATTTCGATCCCGCCGAAGTTTCCACCTAAATCCGTCTACGTTTTCATCTTGCTGGTGTTGGGACCTATACCATTCGAGAGGAAAATGTCGAATTTGGTGGATTGGATTTCCAGTCACGTTGAATTATGTCCCGATTCGCATGCCAAACCGACCTGATCGTGACCCCTCGAACGGGTGGGGAAAATCCTCTGCTCGTCCCTGTGATGCGATGGGCTTCGGCCCTCGAGGAATTCGTGTTTACGTTTGGGAGAGAGCTGGAGGGAGAAAAAGGGAAGAAACCAGACAGAGAAGGCGAACAGACTTCCCATTTTTTCGCCCTCGACGCGGGAAGAAAGACTTCATTCTGAAATAACTTCTCTCCGCGATTCTCTCTCTCTCGTGGGATTTATTGATGAGAGAGAGAGAAATGAAGAAGTAAGAGAGAATGCGGAGTCAAATCTGCAGTTTCTTCCTCTTAACTCAAAGAAGGAATTTAAGAACTTTTCTCGAAATGACCTTTCTTTGCAATTCCCCCCCATAGACGTCCAAGTCCTGCGGACAATGGGGTGACAAACACCGTCAAACCTTAACCTGATCGGATTCCACTCTTTCGTACAAATGTGATTAGCCCAAGCAAATATGAGCCCATTTATGAAAGCTAGATTGGTTTCCGTTTTATCATTTTGGCACGTGACACCCAATGGGAAAGATGAAAATCGGTCGGCTTCATTTTCCTGCTTTTCCGTCACTTACCTGTTGGAGACTTACACGCCTACACGCCAAAGTTTTTGGGAAGCAAAAAATTTCTCCAAGAAAGAATCCCAGCCAGAACTCGCGAGAATGCTGGCAAGCTCTGTGGCATAAATGATCGATGTGAACTGTCCCGGTCGAAATTGCAGTGTCTGAGGTGTCCCTCTGTTTATTGGATGGTATCCTTTGTGCATGCTCGACTGAAAACTTGCCGTTAATTTCCTCCGCCAAAAGAGGAGACCTGAGAATAGCTGCACTGTTGGTGGAAGAGGTTTTTATTTATTTATTTTTTTAGCTCTGCGAGGGGTCTGTATTTCCGGTCTTCATCCGAGTATCATACCGGTACGACGAATAGGTGACGCGGCAAACGCCAACGATGGGAACCGGGGGGGGGGGGGGGGGAGGATTGCATGGAAGGAAGACCTCATTACATCCAGAGGACTTTGCAGACGTGCAGTCTGAAAGGAAGAGACAGAAGAAAGGAAAGGCATATAAATGTCTTGCATCTTTTTCCCTGTCTGGACGATAATGAGGGAATGGGGACACTACGAATCTCAAGCTGAACGGAGGCTTTTCCCGTACAGTACAAAGGCTGATTTTGAAAATGCAGTTCAGTTGCAGTACAGTAGCAGTTTAGTTGCAGTTCCACTTGGGATTTCCCTGCGATAGAAGTCAACAAGAGCATAGAGGAACTTCAATCAGACCAAAATCTGAACTGAAACTAGAACCGAACTACAGCTGAACTAACATTTTGAAATCAGTCGACGGGTCAGAATCAAGCTGGTTTGGTCTACTAAACCAAAACGGATGAAACTTTGTTGACTCAGAGACCTGGACAGTATGTCGAACTCACAGGCGAACCGGAGTGAGTGATAAGAGTGAGAAATTCTACTGGTTAGAGCCATGCTTTACTAAGATTCTTACCATGAAGCACCATTATGCCTTATAGTAAAATGAGAGAAGAACTTGTCATTGTCACTCTCTCGGCTGAGTTCCCCCTCTATACCTCCTCCACCCAGACCGAAGCCTGTTCGCGCATCGCTTGGTCCTGTACTAATATCGCGGCCACGACACCATGATCCCATGATGGGCGAAATCGCCTCTTGATATCACTAACTCTCCTGACTCCTGACTCCTGATCCGATCATCTTCCATCGTGATTGGATCGTCTTCACCTTCCTTTCCGGTCTTTAACGAAGGCTTCCCTCTCCACGCAGGAGGACGACAAGCGACGCGGCGGCATCACGCTGAGCAGGTACCAGGAGCTCTACGCGGAGTTCGTCGGGAACCCGGACGACGATTGCGAGGCAGTGATGCTCTTCGGTCCCCTGCCCCTCGTCCCTCCTCATTGACCAGGGTTGCCGAGAAGTCCATCGCCCCGGGAAAGACTTTTACCAGAGAGGTCCGGATCCTCTCGCCGTTTCGCGTCATCAGTGGACGCTGCTGAATTTATCTAATGTCATCGGGCAGAGAGAAGCCCTGCAACATCGTTATTCTGAATATAAACTCATGATCTTCCAACCCTGATATTCAAACTTATTTCCAACCGGCGTGCAGTTCACATTGAAGCTCGGCTCGAAGATGAGCCAACCCTTGTTTTATCTGGCAATCCATACATTTCGACACCTGAAGAGAACCATATCGGTGGCAAGAGGCAAATGTATCTTGTAAGTGCAGCACAGTCATGACTACGGCTGGAATTTTTAATGAAAATGGTTATTTATTTCCTGAAGTCGCATTTTCCTCACTCTCATGGAGAGAACGAATTTGAATCAGAAGAATCTACTCAAATTTGAATTGCAAGTTTTGGGGGGCTATTTTGAGTTATTCAATGGTTAATTTCATGTTTCCACTCTGGTATGATGAAAATGAAAGAAATGGTCATAAAAATAGCAACATTTCAATGTTCCTTTCTTCCCAATCTGAAACCATCCCGCCAAAAAATTTTCATCCTCCTCAGAAGTTATAGGTTGCCAATTTCTCTAAGAATCTTGGTCGAAATGAACATAAATGAATATAAGTGTGCTTCGTCTGCTTATACATGCATTGCAATACCATTTTCCTTTCTTTCAATATGCATATCTTATGAATGTTAATGCATATTTTTCCATTCTGTGATGCAAATTTCCAGAATCTCCACGCATGAAATTCCTAGCCTTGGCCATGACAATCAGTCCGAGCAGTCCTTGGAAGAATTTTCTTCTCTTGTCTTCCGCCAAACTCTAGCATTTCGGTGTAAAGGAGCTTCTAGCTGTTCCTTCCCCCTCCTTAATTTCTTAGCTAACTCTATTCTTAGAATGGAGTTTGCGTAAGATTAGAAGGCAAGAAGTCACGCCGCATCCCATGTGAAGTCAGTGACATCACACGAGAAAAGAGTCTGATCCCTGTAGCCCTTCTCCATCCTCCTCCCTGCAGCCCTTCTCCATCCCTTGCGACACGCCTCTAGGGAACCCGAACGAGGGAACTGCGTTACGTCGCGCGTGGACCCCAACCGGAGATTTCGCAAATCGGAAATGCAAGTCGGCAAAATAACCGCAAGGATAAAAAAAACCCACAGATTTTCAGACTCAAAGGTTCACACCCGTATCCGTATGCCATTTCGTCGCGACTTCGCCAACATGTCAAAAGGAAACTCATCCAAATGCATTTGAAATGAAGGCGAAACGCATCAGTATGAGAGCAAATCGTCCTAATGATGCGAGACCCGTGACCTAGTTTGCTACGGTCCGGAAGTAATCAAGGAAGGAAAACACGACCAGGTATGCTGGCACATGAACTCGTGCCAGCACACACTACCCCCGATATCACTTACACCTACAGTAATTTAGGTTCGGTAACACCTAATTTAGAGGCAGTGGCGATCGTCGCAATGAATCCTCGACTGGTCTCTTTCCATTCAGAATTGTTTTTCCTACACCAACAAATCAACGAAAAAATATTATTTTTACTTTTGCTACTGTCTACATATACACCTTTAATGATGATAAGCCAAATTAAAAGAATGCACAGTGGGAGAAAAGCCCACATTCCTTGCCAAAATTAATAAAATAGAATTTTCTGGTATGTTCCTGATACTTTATCCCCCAACATCAAATAAACCGAACTTCAGAAAACTGCAATTACTTCAACGAAAGCTGAAACCTTCTTCTATATGGAACAGTGTGAACTCAATGAAACTCTCACTATCCCTCCACGCCCTCATTTCCTCAGGTTAAAAAGAAATCAACTTGTCCCAAGAAGAAACTCGTGATCTGTTCGGACTTGAGGGAGCCTTCGATGAGTAAGTACTTTCATGTTGATTGGTATGATATTATAAGTTATGATATTACGAGCGCTTTGCCTATTTATCTGAATAATAATCTTCAATTACTGCTCCGCCATATTTGTTGTGTTGCAAAAAAAGGGGATAGAGTGTGATGAAGATTAGGGCATTTCTAAAATCTAACGTTAGTATTTTAGCATTCATATGAAAACTAGCTGCTACCTCTCGCTACTTTCACGACAGGATACCATAACGTATCTACCTCGTACAATGTTTGGAAAACTAATACAATGGCACATCCTTAGGAAATTACCCTATCGCCCTATGTATTCGACGTCTCGAAGAAAATTCTCAATGCCTCTCTGACGACCTGAAAGTATATACTGTAAACAGAAGGAATACTTTATGCGAAACCTCCCAAGTCAACATCGCAAAGGTAGTGAAAATATCCTGCTGCTGGTTTCAGCTCATCTATTGTCAATTTGACCAAAAGACTATTGCAATCTGGTTTTGCTGGCTGGCCTTACTAGTGGTTAAAGGTTAGGCATGAAATCCAGGCGATGCAAAACACCAGGATAGATGCAAAACACTGGCAAATACTTTTTATCACGTTCAAAAAGATCGAGGCAAAAAAAGGAAATTGAGTTATTTATTTCCATGATGATTTTTTATTGCCAGGTAGAAATTACAACAAGAATTACCACTTCAAATCTTCATTGCCTCGAACCAAAACTGTTGATAACATGAGAAAAAAAAGGGAACCATGCAAATGGGGACCTCTTGGGCTTGCATCGCACAAAATGACCAGATCACAGCTGACGACGAGGCCAGTTTAGTGAAAATTTGAGGACGATGATGAAGAGAAAGACGTAAAAGGCGATTCAGTCCAAAAAACGTTCGACCAGGATCTCCTTCCACACCCGGCCTTGTTCCTCGTCGTGAAGGATGGGAGTGAATCATTGGTAAATCATTTTTATCAAGTCCAAGAAGCTCGAAGCAAAAAATGTGACTTCAGTTAATTATTTTCAATTATGATTTTTTATTGTTGGGTAGAAATTATATCAAGAATCACCACTTCAAGTCTTCATTGTCTCCAACCAAAACGGTTGATAAATGAGAGAAAAAAAAAGACTAGATCACAGCTGACGACGCGGCCAGTTTAGCGAAAAATTAAGGACGATAATGAAAAGAAAGACGCAAAAGGCGATACTGTCCAAAAAACGCTCGATCAGGATCTCCTTCCACTCTCGGTCCCGAGCCTCGTCTAGCACCTGCCACAGAATCGAGGGCCATTACTCTAGCGCATCTTGAGACGGACTGAGCGAAGGTTCCTACCTTCTCGGGAGTCTCCGTGGGGAGGCAGAAGATCCGACCCAGGATGCCCCGACCCCACTGGACCAGTTTGGAAGTGAAGCCGTTGTGGAAGCGGGCGAGGAGCAGGGTCGCCAGGGACCAGAGGAGGCCGAGAACTTGGAGGCACAGGAGGACGTTCATGCAATTCACTGTGGGAGGGAAAAATCGAATTTAAAGAGAGCAAATTGTTTTGAAAGGAGCTTAAATTTCCGTCTCACTGATCTTGATGGTTTTTTCACTGCTGATCGGGATGAAGGATGAGTGATAGAGTTGGAGGATCAGGAGGAGGATGCTGTTCAGGAAGAAGTACATGAGTCGATGAGTTGACCCTGCTGGCAACCACAAGGCACACAGGGTCAGTAATGCCGTTCCTGTCATAAGGAAGAAAAAAAGGAATTTCACGCGTACAAAACACAGGGAATGACTGGGCCCAGTGCCGAAATTAGCCTAGAAATGACGCCTATAGGAATATTGCTTACAAGACACAGAGGAACTAAGACGACAAAGAACGACATAGAATACGAAACTATTTCCACAAGAGTCTCTGGACGTATGCCGACGAAGGATGGCATCGATAGGAACAAGGCCGACGAGAAATTAACTACTGTATTCTCTTCCGTGTTGACGTTATTCCTGTCGTAATTTCGTCATCGTTCAAACGTCGATGCAGTTCCTTGTAGATGCTGTTTCCGTCGATCTTATTATTTCCCAGCCTTCATCTTCGTCTCTATGAACAAAACACGATAATCACAACGACCCCTCACCCACGACCGGGAAGAATAGCGTCCCCTTGTAGAAGAGCGACGGCCTCCGCATCAGCTTCACACTGGCAGTGAGATCCAAGTACGGCTCCGCGCAGCACTTGTAAAACGTGTCTTGTCGAACCATTGTCGGCTTCCCCACGATCTCCCAGTGCGGCGATTCTTGGTAATTCCTCAGGTCCTACGAAAGAATATCGTCTTTGTCATCTGAGAAGTCTCACTTCCTTCCCTGCATTTTTGTACAAAACTTCGCTGACTTCTAGCAGAGTCTTACGAAGGAGTCATCCCCGTGAATGAGACTGAGGTTGAGAAGAAACCCATGATAAACCCAAGACCCGAACTTGATTCTGCACTCGTGCGCGTCGAGCGGCCAATGCGCCAAGTCATCCTGGCAGTACGTGTTGATAATGACGCTCGGCACGAACCATACCTCTCCAGTCGAGTAGACGACGACGTTGGAAGAGCGCTGCTGGTGCAGGGAGGATCGAAATTCGTCCTCGGTGGCCCTGAAAATCAAAGCCATCTCTTGCCAGTAAACTATAGTGCCAACCAGTGGCGTCTCGTGGAGTATCTGGGGAGGCCAGCATATGATCATTATATGAGTCGCAAATATTCAAGTGGCAGATAATAAATACTGGATAAGGCTGAGCGAGAAAACGTTCCACGTTGTCAATTTATACTGAACATAAAAAAAATGTAATGCATAGTGTATGACATATACCATCCCAATCGGTTTCATCCATAAGTTACAGTATCCTTTGCTATTTCATTCGGTTTCGCGAAGGAAGGAGTGGGAAAAGCTTCACTTATCCTCTTGCATGCATCCCTTTAACTCAAATGGACTTGGTCTTTCTTGGTTTCCTAAAGTACAGGGTGGTGCAAAAGTAGGTATACAGTTAGATGTTTGATGACACAAATTCAGTGAAATTGATGAAAATAAGAAACTATCAGATGGTGTGCAGAAGTGTCAAGGACTGTTTCCAGAAATGTGTCAACTGTGACGGCCACCAGTTTGAACATCTCCCAGAATAAGTTCTAACTGTTTGTAAGTAAATAAATAAACAGTAAACTGTTTACCTACTTTTGCACCACCCTATATTTCTATGATGTTCGCATGACAGATTGTGAGTTCATTTGTTGCACATGTGACTTCAGGTGCTCCACATGTGAGTTCGCGAGTTTTAACCTGCGAGTTTGACTGTCATTTTAAAAATACCAAAATGTTTCCCTCGCGGCATATGCGGACGCAGAGCAACACCTCAATCGGCTTCCGAGCCTGAGAAGGTTGCAGAAGCGGAAGAGCGACGAAGGCCGTACTCATTGAAGGCAGTGATGTCGGGAAGCCAGACTTGATCCGGAGAGATCCGGATATCAGTGATAAAAGCGTGCTCCCACGGCTTCCACTGGAGGCGTTTGTCTTGCCACCGCTGCAACGATCCTCGGATGATCCTTAAACGTACTGCTTAATGGCAATCGATTATCAGGTCTTGACGACTCACAGCTTGATACCAGAGATGCCAGATCGCTTCTCCTTTCAGGTCGTCCTGGAATTCGAATCGTGAATGATAATCCACAATCCAATCATCCATAATCCGAAATATAACAAAAAGTTGTATTAAGTTATTTATATTTTACCAGGCGAAGATGGAGGACATCCAACCCAAACCTGACGTGGACGGCTTTCCCGTCAGTCGAGAAGGGTGGGACGAGTTCATCGTAGTCTTGGAAGAGGATATTTTTCAACTTGGTTGTACTCTGGTGGGAAATGTTCACTGCTCCGCCTGAAGATAGATCAATGTCGCAGTCATTATGGAAAGGAGTCACAGAAACGATGTGCATTTCTATATCGTTTTTCGGAATCCCATAAGAAACGAAAAGACAAAAGTGGCGGATTCATGGAGGCATGAAGCCAACGTCCCCCAATATATATTTTTAATCAACGGAGTTTCCCCGATGATGATCTATTTGTATGGTGCGATATACCAAGATGTATCCCCATAGGCTTACTTCAAGCAAACAAAAGTATTTATTCCAGCTCTTCTCTCCCCAGCATCCAGATCCCTTATCCCTGCTCCCGAACAATCAGGTCCGTCCCCGCTAGTTATCAGAGCTAACTTCTGCATCCGCCCCTGATGAAACTTCGCTTTTGCCTCTTATCCCCTCACAGCAAAGTAGAAACGTACAGTGAGGTAAACATTTTTGTACGTTATGAGGAACAAACGCTTTCGTAAAATACGTTCGTCGAAAGGTACCGAAGCAAAATAAGGTACAAGTGTGTAACTTTTAGTGACATCATGCTCAGATCACATCATTCGGCACCACGTCTCACAGTCGGCGAACTGTCTCAGAGAAGGAAGATCTCCTTACACCATCTTGTAAACGGAGACGATGACAGTCCGGCATTGCCTCCAAGACGTTCCAGGACATGCTGTCCTACTAACAACCCCAGCTCCTGTTGTCATGGATACAGTACGTAGCAAAACAGAGTACCATTATAAAAGGAATCTTTCAACCTCATCGAATGTTGCCTGCTAGTTACTTAGAGAGTATAAACTCCTAACCTGTCATTTTACACTTCTCTGTCCTCGTGCAAAACCCCAGCATTTAAAAATTTCCAGAATCTTTTATTGCCATTTAAACATGCTACTTATACCTTTACCGAATATTACTTTCCTAGTATCATTATGAGGAGAGAACGAGGATTGGAATAAATCACTTCTCCACTTCTCCTAAGGTCCGGTGCGTCCTGACTTGAGTTCGGATGTTCATGGGAACATAATCGCCATCTTACGCGCATTTTAAGTACAATATTGGGAACCCAGACATCTGCATTTGCAACGAACCAACGTGACCGTCTGGACCACATGCGCACCAAGGCACGTATGAGGACTCAAAGGACACAAATCTCTCACATTTGTACCTTTCCTTGTACGTTTCTATTTTGCTGTGCTCGCTCGCGCACACAATCCATGCCTTCTCACCGATGGAGAGGAAGCACAGGACGAGAGAGCAGGAAGCCATCGAGGCTCTCGTTGGAACAATACTGCCTGGGCCACGCACGTGCAGTAGGGGAAGCTTCGCAGTCGTCCTTGCCCTTATGACATGAAACTGCTGTGACTTATCCCAGCTCCTCCCTTGTTATGCCAGAGATTGCTTCGTCTCTGCATCCGGTGAAGTTGTCAAGTTGTCGTTTGCAACTCCTTTCCGTCCCTTATTTCCGTCACTGGATGAAGAAAGGCGATGATCGAGATGGGCTTGCCATAGTCCAGATGCTTCGTAGCGGGAGTCCGATTTGGGAAACGGCGGTCGATTTTTCTTCGAAATCAAATTCTCTGTGCTTTCTTTAAGTATTCAAATCTCGTCTGACCGGGAAAGGTGCGAGATCAATGTCGTTTCAAGAGGAGGGGCATGGAAAGACATGTAACCTTGATATCCGGCCACTTCCCTTTCCCACAAGAATAAATAAAACTTCGTAACTAGCCTTCCCTTTAACCACTGTACCACTTTAAGAGCACGTTTTTACCTATTGGTATCACGCTTGTCTATGCAAGGCAGAACATTTTTATCCATGGGTCACGGCTCTACCGGATCTCCTTTGAATTTTTTTACGGTTATTTTGACCCTAGACAACCTCTACTTAATGTGTATTTCTGTTCATATGCAATGCAGGCGTGGTTGCCGGGTTTTCACAAAGCAAAAAAAAGAGTAACTCGTTACTCTTGCTCGTCACTGAGTACATTGACTACATTAATGTGTGTCTTGATGAGCCAAGTTAAAACAATGTTAGGCATTTCGCAAAAAATTTGATTAATGCATTAGAAGCAGTTGATGAGATCACATCCAGCCGAAGGTTCAACATTTTCAGCAGGATTCTTCAGACTAAATTTTTTTCTCGAGTAGTGTCTCAAAAATCACTAACACAGTGACTAAATCCATGTTCTGTCGGATTCCACTCTTATCACAATCCAACCCTTAAAACTTAATACAGATCTGATAATATATCACGCCTCCGGTCGTGAGCCTCTCAAATTGGCTGCTCCTGTCATTGCTTCATTTAATTCATTATTATATATTCACTTACTTATTTAATTTCTTCCGTCTGCTGGCACTTGAATTGAAAAACTAAATTGTCAATGCCCTTCTGGATGCCAGCAAATATCTAAAAACCAAGAATATTTTACCTCAAGTCTTACAAGTCAAAATCGGAAGACAGTGACACAATCATGTTCCTAATTTCAGCTCATCTATTGCTAATGTAAATGAACATTTTGTTCATTTTAGTAGTTAATGTTGTTTTCACAGGCAGGGCTCTTAAAAGGTCAAAGGCCAAGGACGAAATCCCGGCGAAGGGCAAGCGAAGGATAGTCGTGAATCATAGGTAAATCATTTTTATCACGTCCAGGAAGATCGAGACGAAAAGGAGCTTCAGTTCTGTATTTCCATGATCATTTCCTATCGTCAGGTAGAAGTTACATCAACTATCACCTCTTCAAATCGTCATTTCTTCTCTGTCTCGAACCAAAACGGTTGGTGAAATGCGAGAAATTGAGGACCAGGCAGTCTCCCCCTCGGTCTCGAACGACCAGATCACAGCTGACGACGAGGCCAATTGAGTGAAAAATTGAAGACAATGATAAAGAGAAAGACGCAAAAGGCGATTCGGTCTAAAACCCGCTCAACTAGGATCTCCTTCCATGCTCGGCCTTGCTCCTTGTCCTCCAGCAGCTGCCATGGAATCGAGGGTCATCACTTTAGCACATCCCGCGACAGACAAAGCGGAGGTTCCTACCTTCTCGGGATTCTCCGTGGGGAGGCAGAAGATACAACCCAGGATGCCCCGACCCCACTGGACCAGTTTGGAAGTGAAGCCGTTGTGGGAGCAGGCGAGGAGCAGGGTCGCCTGGGACCAGAGGAGGCCGAGAACTTGAAGGCACAGGAGGACGTTCATGCAATTCACTGTGGGGAGGAAAAATCGAGTTCAGGGAAAGCAAACCGTTTCGAAAGGAGCTTGGATTTCCATCTCACTGATCTTGATGCTTTTTTCGCTGGTGATTGGGATGAAGGATGAGTGATAGAGTTGGAGAATCAAGAGGAGAATGCTGTTCAGAAAGAAGTACATGAGTCGATGAGTTGACCCTGCTGGCAACCACAAGGCACACAGGGTCAGTAATGCCGCCCCTGTTGGAAAAAAAGTAATGTCACATGTACAAAACACCGGAAAGAACTAAGCTGAACAAGACCATTCTGGTAATGGACTGGTCTTGCACAGCTTGGGCCCGAAAGCACTAACCTCATTTAGGGGAAATAAAATAGGCCCTTTAAGCTAAAGACCTCCTTTTCTTCCACAGGAGTTCATGTATTCTTTAAGGACCGTTAACAAAATGAGGTTTCAATTTTCGGGCCTTAGACTTTAGCTCTAGTTTTCCTGGCCTAGAAGTACGCCGACAGTAATATAATCATTGGGAAACCTTTACATTTCCAACTAGAAAATACGTGTAATTTGTCCACCATTCTCTTCAACTCACGTTGGGAGGTCATGTTCCCATCCATCCAGAACTGGTTTTTAGAATGTCTTGTGTGATTTGTTCCACAAGCTTTGTTGATGCGCTCCTCGAAATGATCAATGTCGCCTATTTTGATAGAGTGCACGTGTGCTTTCAAATGGATTTTTTTTAATTTCCCTCAGTTTCGACATATTTTATTCGATTTTCGCGAGCAGAACCGGAAACAACGAGAAAAAAAAAGACTTTCCCAACCCCAATGATTTCAAACCTAACCCATAGACAGTTTTTTTTTAAGAGTTTGTGTGCTTCCATGTTGAAAATTTCCCTATTGTAATAACGTCATCGTTCAGACGTCGATTTGGTTCCGCGTCGATGCTATTCCTGTCGGCCTTATTCTTTGCCAGTCTTCATTGCCTCTTTAAACGAAACGCCATGATCACCATCACGACCCCTCACCGACGATCGGGAAGAAAAGCGTCGTTCGGTAGAAGAGCGACGGCCTCCGCATCAGCATCACGGTGACCGTGAGATCCACGTACGGCTCCACACAGCAGTCGTAAATCGTGTCGTGTCGGACCATCGTTGAATTCCCCACGATTTCCCAGTGCGGCGATTCCCGGTAATCCAACAGGTCCTTCAAAAGAGAATATTTTGTTTCACCCGGTTTCCGCATCTCCCCCGTCCGATATCTCGCTTTTTTCCCCGCGCTTTCGCATCGATCTTCCCTGACCGCCAGCAGAGAGTCAAATCAGGACTTACGACATTCTCCTTCCCATTATAGAGACTGAGGTTAAGAAGAATCCCATGGTAAACCCAAGACCCGAACTTGATGTTGCACTCGTGCGCGTCGAACGGCCAATGGGCCAAGTCATCCTGGCAGTACGTCTTCATGCAGACGCTCGGCACGAACAAAACCTCTCCGCTGGAGTAAACGAGGACGTGGCCTTTTTGTTGGTGCAGGGCGGTTCGAAATTCGTCCTCGCTTGCCCTGAAAATCAAGTGCCAATAGAACATAGAGCAGACTGTCGACTGCCGATTGGGACCAACGAATCAGCCAGATGAAAAAGACTTCTGGTCCTGATGTGTCCATTTCCGATTTGGTCTCAGATATCACATACCAAGTGGATATGATGTCTACCATCCCAATCGGCTTCGGCGGCGTGCATTTAATCCTACGATGAAGCCTGAAGGAAGCTACATTTTCATTAGTTTGGAGACATGGCCTTTCGTAAAGACCATGTCTCCAAAGTCTCCATGATTTTCGCGTGGAAAATTGTGAGTTCATTTGTTCCTCACATGACTTCACGTACTTCACAAGTGAGTTCGCGAATCTCACACGAGAGATTGGCATTTGTTAGCACTTGACCAATGAGAATAACTATGTCATTTAAAAAAGAGTCTGGCACCAAGAGTCCCCTAAGCAGCACGCTCAACTTCCCAAGGCCATCACTTCCGCGTCCGAACAGGACGACGAGCCACGCCTAAATCGGCTCTTGAGCCTGGGAAGGAAGCGGAAGAACGCATGAACCCCTTACTCATTGAAAGCAGTGATGTCGGGAAGCCAAACTTGATTCGAAGGAACCCTCAGAACAGTGATGTTATCGTACTCCGACGGTTCCCACATGAGTCGTTCGTCCTCCCACACCTGCAACGATCCACCCCCGATCATCCTTCGACGTCATGGCCTTATCTCAACCCCAATCGATTACCAGACGACTCACAGCTCGCTTCCAGAGATGCCAGATCGCTTCTCCCTTCAGCTCGTCCTGAAATCGAATCCCGAATGATTCCTCTCGATGATCCCCAACCAGAAAATTAAATATGTATTTATATATAATTTTACCAGGCGAAGATTGATGAGGGCCACCCCGAACCTGACGTCGACGCCAGTCTTATCTGTCGGGATGGGCGGGACCAGCGCATCGTAGTCTTCAAAGAGGTTATTTTTCAAATTGGTTGCACTCTGATGGGATATACCCACTGCTCCTCCTGCTGAAATTAGATTGCTGTCGCTTTTCTTAAGGAACGGGAAAACTGGGCTGTAAAATCAAGTTCCTTTACAATATTTTTATAACTCCAATTTTTCTTGATGGAATTTCCTGTGAGAAATTGTCTACGTTGCGATATCCCCTAACTTGATGTGAAATTCCGCATTTCGTCTCACCGAAGAAGCAGACGAAGCACGCGACGACGGAGGGGGAAACCATCGAGACAGGCTCTGCACGCATAGGTCACGCACACGCGGCCAGGGGAATCGACGACGGCACTGCCTGCCCCCAGCACTCGCACGCTCTTGGGCGTCCTTGCTCTCGTGACGTCACGCCCCCCTTGACATGTCGCAGCCCCATCGTTTGTCGTGCCTGGGATCCGGTGATGCTGCCGTTCGTAATCCTTTCCTTTCCATTGGTGGGGGGGGGGGGGGGGGGGGCCCTCCCCCCCTCTCCCCCCCCCCCCAAA